TATATTTAAACGATGGAAATACTGAAATTTAAACGGCTACGTAAAAATGTTAAAAAAGGCTATAATAACTTTTCTAAGTACTGTAATATCTCTGTAACTTTTAAATTGTTGTGACAACTCTAACCTACTTTAACACGTGCAGAAAAAGGGGCTTAACTGGTCAACACGTGTCGAACCACTTCCGATTGTGATTTGACCAATGAAAATCTTCGTCGGATTAATACGACAAAATCTTTGTTTACAGTAGGTGCCAAGTTACGATAATATAGGTGTTTTCTTTTGTCAGCTCGTGTTAGGACCAAGTCATTGTTATTTATCATTGTTTTGCGTGCTTCAGGTGTTTCATTTCAATGCTTTTTGTTCTCTTTGTTGATTTATAAATCTAAGACCTTGCCTTGCCCACATCAAATTTACGTCTTGTCCCGCCGCTGAATCGGTATTTATTATTTTACGCCCCTTCTTCTTGTGTTTGTTCTGTGAGGTGTTCGTTGTCCGAACATAAAAATCTTTCGCGAAAGTGTTCGTTAACCGATCACCCGCTGTATATGAAACGAGCAATTATTTATTGTGAAGTCGTCACAAAGTCAGACTGCAATTTTTAATTTATTCAATGTAAAATATATGCTTATCACCTCAAATTAGTAGTATCGTGTTAATCAAATTTTGATAGAGGAAGGAATTATCTCTCAATTAAGAATAAAATTAAAAACTGTATTTAAGATTATTGTGATTATTTCATGATAATATAAGTTTATAAATGTTAGTAACGGAGGAAAAAGCACGTTGGATCGAAGCATCAATTCGTTTGCACGTTAGTAACATGCCCTACTTATTAGCTTCTGAGTGTTATGTGCGACACGAAGAGAGAAGTTAATCCTGCCAAATATTCACCTCGATATTTACATATGTTCTGCAAGTTATACTTCCATTTACATGTAAGCTTGGAATCTTATAGTTACGAAGTTTTTCAAAGATTCTAAGTTTTTGTCGGATCTATTTTACTCGGTTCTACATTGCAATTAAAGATGAGTATGGCATATACCTTATATTATTTAATGTGTATCATTGTTACATATACAGAAACAAGTATGAAGAGATATATAATTCGTGCTATAAGCAAATTGTTTGCGTTCGAAAAACACCTAAACTGAGTACAAGCAATTTTGTATCGACTTATCATCAATTGATGATATTGACAGTGATCTTTAAATTTCCCACTCCATTCGGTATTGTGGGACCTAGCAATTAGCAAATGGTACCGATACGTCAGGCCCGTCTCTCCCCATCTGCCAGTCTGGACTTTCTAAATACCGTTTATATTTCTCCCCTAATCTCAAACACCTTCACTCAAGTTGACAACGTTCAAGTTCTGTAACATGTACGAGGGCAGACTGATGTTTTGGTGTGTTCTGTTCCACTACAACTGATCCGAAATCATCTGATGCATCACTCGGTGTTACCATCATCATTTCCACATTTTTGGGAATCGGCTACTCTCAATCATCACTGAAATACTAACGAACTTCTAACACATCATCTTTTAAAGGTTAAGTGATCTTGTAATAGCTGCATACCTTCTGCAGGGACGCCATGCTCTTATTCTTAAATCTCTTTTTCTCTAGATCCCCATACCTTAACATAACAAACCAATTAACCGCTTGTTAAACATATTTAAGTAAGATTTGATGAATACTGATTTATACAATTACCATTTGCTGTATATGTTCCTTTGTTTAAGAATACATTAAAAATTATTGTGATATTTTAAAGTAACACTTGAAATTATACAAGATCTGCTAATGATATTAAAAATCTTTAGAAGAAACATACAACAGTTTTTTCTTTTGTAATTCCTGGAATGCAGTCGTAAAGCCAGCAATAGTATTTATTACCTGTAACAGAGTCATGAATTGAGGTTACGTTCTTGAAAATAGTTTGAATCATATAACACCACACCGTAAAGACGAACAAAAATTGAAATATTTTATATGTCATAATAGAAAATACAACGGCGTGTTATAGCTTCATGGGGCTCAGGCGAATTTGAATTAGTGGACTCAATGTATCGTGTTGACTTCAGACATTTTTTTGGGGGGAAATATTTTATTATAAAAGATTTGTTTCGGGCTCCCTGTTGGAGTGGGCCCCAAGCATTGTTTTTTTTCGCCCGTAGGATAACGTACCACTGAGAAAATATCAATCGTGCATCGGAGAGTCTTAAAGCCAGTACCCATTATAGCAGAAAGGAACGTCTGTGACCTACTTTACTAAAGATTCCAGAAAATTCATATTATAAGTAATGTCTAGTGTATTTAGGTCAAATTACAGTTGTCTTCCGTAAAGGTGTTTTCATTTTATATTTATAAATTTCATGCACAACGATAATGAATGTCAAACAAAACTCCAATTCTTCTCTACATCTTCGTATAGATAATTATTTAGTAACGTTTTCATGCTACTTACTTAAATGTTTCTTTAAATTACACTTTCTGCCGTAAACTCGTGGTTTTCTTGAAAGTATTAATTAATCATATTCAATTTGTTTTAGTTAATATTTAATGAATTAAAAATATTTTACTTTTCACACTACCTTTTCCAATATTCTCGCCTCGCATTTCTTGAAATTCACACTGAAAATCGCCCACGATTTTCTGTTTTAGATGCATTTTTCTTTCATTTTTTTAATATTTTCTACTCCTATCCACAGATGTAATTATATCCATTTTATCTTGAATATTTCTTCTAAAAATATATAAATATTTCATCCAGTCAATAAGCATTTTTAACAAGTAGACAGCACCAAACACCATAAACACTATACCAATCACGGCAAAAATGTAAGCATAAATGTCTATTGCCAAAAATAGTTTTCTACTACTGAAAATGTACATACTGAAAATTTACAGAAAGAGAAAATATAGAAGAACTCGCTTCATCTTCCGAATTAAAATAGAAAGTGTAGACGGTGATTTCACTGGAAACATCAACTTCGAGAATGAGGTTAAAGTTGTTATTCCGCTTTCTGAAGGTCGAAGTTCACGAGGAAGTTCTGTTTAAAATGTTTTATTTAAAAAATAACTCATTTACTATAAACAATAAAAATGATTTACTTCAAATTTTTTTAAAAATATCCTTCACAGTATGACATTATGATTTTGTTATAATCGTTATAAAACTAATTTATAAAAGAATATTTTACAAAAAATAATTTTAAAAATATTTAAATATTGTTTAAAGTTTCGTAAAAATCTTATCAGAAATTAATTTCACACGTTATCCTTTCGTGACGTAACGCGATTGCGACCGTCGCACGCGACTGGCACCGTGTGAAGCGGTTTTCGCGGCGATCAGATGTTTTATGTTGACTTCATTAGGTGGAACGTGCGGTTGGTTTTTTGAGTGTGGTGCACTTCCCAATATAGAAAGTGAAGAAACCATTCATTATAAATTTATGCCCAATGATGTCACGTGGTCCTTTTAAACAGGGAAGAGCATCTCTTGGAAAGCAACGTACTGCACAATACCTGTACATTGGCTTAAGAAATGTGCGCAGAGGAGTATCCATACTGAAAAGTTGGCCTATGCAAATGTTTTTCTTTTCTTTATCACGAATATGTTAATTTTTATTTGAACAAATTTGATAGTTTATTAATAAAAGTTAGAATTTCTGATATAAACATAACGTGATATGCCCGATAATTATATTAATCGGTGAATATTACATATTGAAAATGTGTTAAATAATTTTACGTACTGTATATTATAACAAATGTGTATTTTTCGAATTAATTCAAATATTCGAGTATATTATGCAATCATTTAATTGAAATTAAAATGTTTTTTATTTACTTAAAGTCAATGAAATAAGTGAACATTTAAAAATATACCAAACTCTTAATACTGTAATTTTAGTTACTGATGAAAGGCCGAAATGCTTCTATTTTGTAATCAACCAAAATAAATGTAATTAATTGCTTTTGTTGCTCATACATTGACTTGCACAAATGAAAAAAAAAAAATGATAAGCAACGACCACAGTGCATTTTATGTTGCAAGATATTATCAAACTGCAGGACAGTCTTAACATCTTGAAGTCTTGTTCGAAAGTCTTGCCAGGGAAGTTAAAACACTTAGTTATTGTAGTAAATTTAATAAAGGTATATCAAAGATGAATGCTTAATCATCTTATCTTTCTTCTTGCGAAGAAATCGATGCTAATCACACCAAAATAAGGTGACTTTTCAAGGAACTTATACTAAACGGGGTGTTTGAAATGCATGAGGAAACTATAGTTTCTTACTAGCCAAAAGCGTGATTTAGTTAAAGACTTTGAGAAAAGAGATAAAATACTTCGACTGGTCTTTTTAGCAGATATATTCAGCCAACAGAATGAATTAAGTATACCAATGCAAGGATTTGATAAGAACATCCTTGCATTGGTTATTATTTAATAATAATTTTATTAAAAACTAGAAATTTGTTAATGTCGAGTTTAAAATGAAAATTTTGCAAACTTTCCTCCATGCAATCATTTGAAAATTGTGTTCCGAATTTATTTTTCAATAAATGTAAAGGTCGGAACACAATTTTCAAAGATGTGGCAATCACTTAAAAGCTTAAGAAACAATGTTTTAAGTAGATCTTCAACATATCAGACTTTTTTGGTATCCTTAAGTTTGACTGTATTAATAACTTTTTACAGTCAATATTTTAGAGCTATTCTAAAGTTTATAGTCATAGAATATATTGAATTTTCATTATTATTACTGACAAGAATAGAATATTTAATATTTTGTACTAAAGCAAAGGCAATAAAATTAATAACGGTTTCTTACCAAATGTAAAGAAGGTTAAACAACAAAAAACTCTTTGATTGAAACTTTATTATTGAAAGAAAAACTAAATATCATTTAATACAATTAAGATAATCTGAAAATTTATATTTGTATATATATTTATATATATGAATATATTAATAAGAACATTTATTTTCTATATATATAATATTTTTTTCATTTTCTTTAAATAATTAAACTGCAACATCTCATGCAGTAGAAAATATTCTACATTCTATCTTTTGATTACAACATGAATAAATTTATTTACACTGTGCAGCAATTTTATTATGCTTTGTTTCAAGCTGGCAAGGATATACAACTCTCTCTATAATCTCTCACAATGTACAATTTTCTGAAATTCTAACATTTATAATGTATATAACGTGATGAGAGTTGCATTTCGTAACGTTCGTGTTTTCTTTTTATATATGTATAAAATTATATCTAGAAATTTTTTGATGTTCCAACTTCCTACTCCAGTCGGCAAGTCGTGGCATCAAACAGTTTTTTAAGTCTTGGCCGCAGAGATGTCGGATTCACATCTAAAATCGATTAAATGGTTTGGACCATGACGGTTGATCACAGAAGTTAGAAATGTACGACGTACAAAGAGTATAATTATAAAATGACAATCTTAGAGATTCTAAAAGAATTACAAATATCAAAAGATCTGTTTTGTATAACATTTAAAAAAACATATAAAAAAAGATTAAAATTTAGAAATTGATTTCAGACAGTTATAAATCGTTTTCCGAGAAAAGAGACGGAAAAGTTGAATATCGAGTGAGATAAGACTGCAAACGAATACACTTTCACAATGTTAAAGTAGTTTTTAAAATTAAAATATACACTCCAACATTTATAAATTTAAAGCACCATACAAATAAAACAACTTTGGCTCATCTTTGGAATGTGTATATAAAAATAATCTCTACGAGAGGAATTTTTTTTGGTAAACTAAAAAATGGAAATGTTCAAAGTTTGTTAACATGACTAGTATGAGTTTTATAGGGAATGCTTCTAATCACTACATCTATACACTAATAATTTTGGTATGAGTATTTGAAATGGCATTTTGAATTTACAAGAGAATATAAATAAAATTTTTATAATTATATATAAACATATTTTCGGCACCAAAAATAAAGTTAGCACCTATCTGTTAATAAATATAAATTTATGATATACAAGGCTTTGCTTAAGATTCTAAAATCTGAAGAATATTCTTGGCTTGCTTGGATATGTCTTCATTAGAATTTTCTGAAACGAGCTGGATTGATGATTTGATATCACTCCACTTCAACAGTTCTTCTTTCAAATCTATAAGAAAAAATAATTATTAGCATTAAACAGCAGCATTGCCCCATTTTAAATATATTTCTTTATAATTTTTTTAAGACAACACTATAATAAACCATCTTAAAAAGCAGGGGTTGTTTACCAACAGGTACCAAATAAAATAAAATTGTATTGTTGATTCTTTAGAATATTACCATAAACTTATGCAATCATTTAAACTTTTAAAACAAATTTTATGTTTTTACTATATTGAATAACATTTTAGTCAGATGTTTATTACACTATAAGAACATTATTTGAGAAAATTGCATTCAAACCAGTGTATTCACTGCAGAGAGTAGTTTTCCATGTTCAGAATGTCAGAAGCTAGAGAGTTTACTGACTGAAAAATCAGATAAAAGTGGCACTAGATGTGTTATGCATTGATAAGATTGTCTTTTGGAGGAATTGATGGAAAGCTGTTTCTTTCCATTCTCTAAACAGTTTTATATAGTGTTAAAATATCAAGTCTTTCCTTAAAATTTCACTGCACAAATAAGATTGTTTTAATATTCATAAAATAAGTAAGTAAAGCATTTGGCATCATGCATTGCATGCGTTAGATTTTCTAAGTTGAGTTTTTTCTCTTGGAATTGTTCCTCCTCAACTTTGTTATCATCCTCAAAATTTGAACAAACTCCTTCAGACAGTTATTCATTAATATTGTTGTTTATAAACCAATTACAAGTGGAAAACGTTGAGAATTTGTTTTCAAAATCACCAATTCTACTTGGTCAACTCCTTAATTTCTTCAATTATTTTCTCATCTTGTATGTCCAAAATGGTTCTGAATTGATCTGATATCTGAACTGATATCCTTTACAATAAATCTTCTACTTCTTACACAGCAGTTGTAGTAGATTTATTGTTATGTAGTGGGTTTAGTAATGATGTTTATAATTTTATATCTTTTACAGTCTCAGGTCATAATTTCTTCCAATAATGATCATAGATTTGTCTTTGTTGTCTTTTAGCACCTGATTTTATTAGGAAGAAACTGTACACTAAGATGAAGTCCTTCCAAAACAAAATGATGCTGAAATTGATTTGCTGCAATGTGACTCTTACATCTCATATAGTTAGCTTTAAAGAATCTGATTATCCCCTGATTAAGTGGATAAATGTATCATTAGGAAGTAAAATGGCAACATCTTATTTGTCATTTGCAAGCATGTTTGCATCATTTGAGTGTACTGGGATATTGTTTACTAAAAGAATGACTTTAAATGGAAATCCAAGTTTTTCCAATTATTCTTTGACTTCTGAACAAAACAATGGTGGAACCAGTCCAAAAAGATATTCATCATTATCCAAGCTTTCTTCTTCCACATCCAATATATAAGCAGTATATTCTTGTTACATCCTCTAAAAAGCTCTTGGCTTTTCACTTGTAAATTAGACCAGACAATAATCTTTTGCAATTCATACAATCAAATAGTAATATTGAATTATGCAAAGAAGAAATCAAATAAATGTAGAATATACTCTGTATTTTATAAAAAGATAAAGGGAAAAGTGATAATTAGGAGATTAATAAATGATAAACAAAAATAAATAGAGACAAGCAGGATAAATATGAGGCATGCACTGTAAGACATTGTTATGGCCACTTCATACTTTGCTACAAATGATTTCCATTTTTAGAAATTTCTGAAAGAGTTCCTGGATGGCCAGTTCAAAATTAATGCCACTGTTCAAATGCCTGTCTGAGCCTAAACTGAACAAAAATCTTTTATGAAGCAGATAGTGTAATACTTATCAAAATGCTAGAACAAATAAATAGTTGTAACAGATTATATGGAAAATGGATTTTTCTTTTCTTACTCCATTTGTTTTCTCTATGATCACTAATCCAGATTTGCCTTAAACAGCCCTCATATGATAAAAGTAATATACTACATATTAGACATTACGTAGATTAACACAGAAATTTGTAAAAATGTATATTTAACTTAAAAATTTTTTAATAAAATTAATACTTAAATATTAAAATCATACCTGAACTGGCTAAAATAGAAATGAAAGTCAAAATGTTCTGAACAACTTCGGGTGCAACTTCACTTGACAAGCACTGACAAAGAACATGCACTATTTTTTCCATATCAAATGCATCTTTACATGAATCTGTAAATATATGAAATATTTTCATTACGATTCTTAATTTGAATACTATACTTTATGGAAATAAGCATACATACTCAAAACAGTAGATGCAATTAATGTTAAAGACACGATTGCTTCATTCTGCATTACCGGATACTTTGAACCAATCATCTCTATTAAATATGAGAGACCACCAGCTTCTGCTATATTTTTCATCACACTTTGATTGAGTGAATTCTTCACTAACCAAGCTATTGTTCTTGTTGATTCTCCTAAAACAAATTATTATGTAGTAGTGACAACAAAACATTAATCTTACAATAAAATTTAAATTTGAGTTTTAATTTGAATTGTTTCTTTTACAATTGTTTTTTTACAGTACCAATTTGCTTTTTATGCTTTTTAATGTGAATAATAAAATCATTAGTGGAAATAAGATTATTTCTTGGAGATTGTGAAGATAATTTACATTTCCATTTACTGAATTCTGATAATTTTCACATGATAAAGTGAACAAACATGTTAATGTTGTGACAATGGCAAAATTCACTTTATTGGTGTTTGTTTTAAGGCAAGTCAACTGTATATACCATGCCACAGAAAAGCAATGATTGGCTGTGTGTCTTAGTAGGTGATTACAGGTCAAGGACAATTGGATGGATGATGGCGAGGAGGAGAGGGAGGATTGAATGGAGGTCTGGATAGTGTAATTGGCAACACATCCACATGGTAAGCTGGAATTGCAGGTTTGAGTTCTGTTCCAGGCTGATTCTTTTCATCCAGAATATTCTAAATTCTTTAATAAATATTAATATAATTATAATTATTAAATCATAAAATAGATAGTGCCTAATGCCTAACCCTAGTATCAAATTATATAGAATCTAATTAAACTGAAATGCTAAAAAAATTAGAGACAACTACCTAAAAGTATAGCTCCTCCCTGAGCCTGAATAACAGCGACTACACAACATGGCATAGACTCTATGAGGTGTCAGAATTGCTGCACAGATATTTCAATCCAGACACATTCAATGGTTCTTTATAATTCAGTTTCATTTGTTGGATAGTTCTGGAAGGCATTGAGTAACATTTGCACGAATATCCTATAAATTCTCCATGGGGTTCAAGTCACTAAGATGGCCAAAGGAATAGCTGAAAATCTGTCAAATGTTCCCAGAACCACTGCTGTGCACCTATGCCCTGTGGGAAGTAGCATTATCTACTAGTACAAACAATCACTATCAGGGAACATAGCAAGCACAAAAGAGTGCAAAACATCTACCATAAGATTAGTATACATTACATTTGTCAAAGTCAACTGCAGTCCCTTTTCATGACAACAGAATACACTAAACCAGGACAGAGACACCCCCAGCTTGCTGACAATGAATTCATGGTTTCATGCAATTGTTGCCACACACAAAACATAACTATTAGCTCAGAAGAGCTGAAAACGAGATTAATCTGACTATACCACACTGCACCAGTCATCCACTGTTCAATTTTGATATTCGTTGGCCCAGGTTAGCACATTACCTGATGTCTGGATGTTAGTAGTGATAACTGAGTGGGTCAGTGACTAGCAAACCCCAAAGAATGCATAGAACATTATACAGTGCATTGAATAATATGGGCACTGTTAAATTCATTAAAGTTTAATGTGATTTGGCACAGAATTGCCCTTCACTGCATGTTTATTAACCTGGTTAGCCACCAGCAGCCATCTTTTTGCATCAATCATGAGTGCTGAGCATTCATGATTGATGCAAAAAGATGGCTGCTGGTGGCTGTCAGAATTTAAGTATTCCTGGTAAATCCTTGAAACTGTTGCACAAGAAGATTAAAAAAAACTGGTCACCTCACTGATAGAACGACCCATTCTTCTTACTCCAATAATCTGTCCATGATCAAAGAACAAATCCTTTACACAGCCCATTGCTACTATAACCAAGCCCACATATAATTGTTAAGTATCATACCTATGGCATCACATGCAAATGTTCCCAAGTAGAAGGTAACAACATTGCATGTGCTGCTGTCTCTAATTTTTTGGCATGTCAGTTTATTAACTGTAACAGTAAAGTAGCCTGATTCAATACAGCAATTGTTTAGCTTATAATTTAAACTTTGGGCTTTCAGATGTTTATGTATAAAAAAGTTATTAATTAGAAAATTAAAATATTTTTATTGTTTTAATTATTTTACCTTTGACTCCAGGATGATCATCAGATTTGCACCATTCTATTACTTTCTGTACAAATTCTTTATTTTCTCCTAAAATAACTGCAGCTTTCTCTGAAAATTTATCAAACATGTGTTACTGTTTTATTCAAGATTATTTTAAAAGTATTAAATAAGTATTACCTTGTTTATCTATTAACATTCTCAATATTCCCAACAATTTAAATATTATAGGATAAGCTTCTACAGATATCAAAGGAAGAAGTTTTTCAATAGCACCTTGTTGAGCAAGAACGATCTTATTTTGAGCTAAAATATAATCATAGTTTATATATAATCTGATTTTATAAAAGTTAAAAAAACAGTAAATTTAATACAAAATACAAAAAAATATTTAATGTTTAAATATTTTAAACTGAAAAACATACATTCAATAATTGAAAAATGTCAGTTCAAGAATGATATAAGCCCATGGACTAATTTTCAAGATAAACAAAAAACTGTGCTACTATTAAAGTATTTGAATGCTTCTGACATCTATAATTAGGTGTGATATATTTAATATATTCCTATTGTATGAACAGAAGGCAAAATGATTGATAACTCAAGACCAGCCATTTGTGGACTTAGAGACTAATTCAAGAATGATATTTGTTTATAAAAAATTTTAAACATTTGTTTCCTTTGCTTACTTATGATTTTGAAGGAAATATTAAAAGTATATATGAACACAGTACAATATTTTGTATTTTTGTATTGTTTCTACAGCATCTACATCTTTTCCTTTTCATACTAATCAATAAATTTTCAATATTTACAATGTTTGTTTGGTCTTTTTTTGTGATGGCATGAGCATACAGAAATGCTCTTATGGTCTCTAATATACAAAGTGTTTCAGTAAAACTCATCACTGGTTGGTCTCAGCTTGAACAATGAAGCTGACATTGTTATCATCACTGCCATCATCTTGCATCCTCCAAACAACTTTCACTTTCCACTATAATACACCAACATATTGCAAGCTTCTGGTCCACAAGCATCTGGACCAGAAGCTTGCAATACCAGTACTGCTTGCTCCAGCCAAAGTCAGTCTTCATCTTGCATGACATCATTCTTAACACTTCTGTTAACCTCCATAGTGTCAGACCCTTCTTCATTCTTCTTCCTTTAGCCACACTGTACAAAACAATAAAATGGATAGTTCTGCACTAGCTGTTTGATCACATTCATTTCAACTGTATCACATTGGTAAAGTTTGAAGGATAAAAAATCATCTTTACATTCTTTAATAAGAATATGTAAGGAGAATGAACAGTACAACTATCTACAAACAAGAGGTTTCTTCCTGTGTTGTGCACCAAATAATTCAAAAAGAGCACAGAAAGTCTGAAAACCTGTCAGCAATCATGCTTTCAAGTTGGTATAGTATGTCATAAGTGGTGCATATTAACATTTGTGTGTGTGGTGTTTCTTACAAATGATCAATTTGGGATTAATTTTCTTCAGAACTAAAAATTTGAACTGATAGATACAGGACAACAGTAAATATAGTAAATGTAGATTTAATTTTCATAATTTAAATAGGATTTGTTCATGGGCAAATTAAACAATGTTTCTGAAAAATGATACATGCAGAAACAATATATCAAGGTTTCACTGTATTATGTATAAAAATGTTAAAAATTTAAGTTATTCAAAGAACATAAACAACAATTTTTTCAGTATGTAATGTTATTGAGATAGTAGTACCAATTTTATTTTCAAATAAAAAGAATTATTTTGATGACTGTTGAGAAAAGACCGTGTGCTTTGTTAGATTTAATCAGCTTTAATTGACAGAATCTATTATGTAATTCTTCTAAGTAAATTACAGCAGTTTGTATTGCTGTAGCATATTTAATTAAACATAGATCTAAAAAATTAGAAGTTATATTTACAGTAATGATACATTTGCTTTATTTAAATTAAATTATTATTTGGCTTCTTCATTGGATTATTATTTTTATGTATTGGTCTTGTCTTTGATTTCATTATAAATATAAAATAGTATCATTATGGAAATATATGATTGGTATCATATATTTGAAATAACTTGTAGTTTCAGTTAAATGACAATTCAAATAGAATATTTAAGTTTTTTAATGTGAATATGAAGTGTTGAGAATATGAACTATGTTTTATAAGTCCAGAATCTTATATTTATTTAATGTTAAAAATTAGTCATTCTGAAATCGTAAATGTATATATTATATACATGGTGAGATATTTAATTAAGAGTTTTTGATATATTTTATAGTCAATATTAATCTATACAGGATGTAAATGAGATGTTATTACACAAATTGGGAGCAGGTTCAGTGATCCCAAATGATATTTGCTTATAATACTTATGGCCAGAAATATGATATACGAATGGTAGAGGGCTGTGAAATTTTGCTTACTATAAAGCAACAGTGCAAATCAGATATTCTAGGACAAATAGTTACAGCAAGTACAACATCAAAACATTTCCAGTTATCTTCCAAAGAGTTTGGCAAAATATCAAGTGCAAATCATTTAAGTGATTGCAGGCAGCTTATTTACAACACTTTCTATGATATTGTACAGAATATTACAGTATCACAATCAATAAGGATTTAGCAATAAAATCCATTTTCCTAACAGGTGTGCATTTGTAACATGTCATATGTCGTAGTACCATAGGAACAACAGCACTAGCAAAATTTCAGAGTCTGCTACTGTTCATATGATACATTTTCAGCAATAAGTATACAATAGACCCCCCTATAACATGGTAGATAATTCCGTGTTATGTGAATTCCATGTTGTATGAGTCACTTAGATTTTACAAATATGTGAGCCATTCACAGCCTGGAACACGTATTTGTAAAATCTAAGTGACTCGTACAACATGGAATTCATATAACACAGAATTCTCTACCATGTTATAGGGGGTCTAATGTAATAAGCAAATATCTTTGGACCAATGAACATGACTTGTGTAATATTATCTCATTTATACTCTGTATAAACAAACTGTTCTGTATTTACAATAATTTGCATAAAAAGTAAATTAATAGCTGCTCATTATTATAAAAATATGTTTACTCAAACCAACAATTAGTAAATAAGAATATAAAATCATTACTTTTTAATTAATATAATTCAAATTAAAAAGAACAACTTACCAGGTATAGCTAAATTTCTGAGAGCTGATAAAACAGCATGCAACAGTCTGATATCATTATCTTTACTATGTTTTTCAAGAAGACACAAAAGACTTTCTGATATGTGATCTTCAACCATATGTATACAATAACTATCTACAAAACATTTCAAAATTTAACACTAAAATCCTGAAAGTCAAATAACTTACATTATCCTTACCTTTTCTAGCAAAATTCCCAGCTGCTAAGGCACCAGCAATCTGCATGACATCATCATCCGAATTCAACCAACATTTAGTTTTCTGATAGACATTTCCATTACCTTCTTCATATAAAATGCTCATACTAGTATCTATTAAAGAAATAAGAATTTAACATTTTTTCTAATTTTATTCTGTCATAAACACCTTTTGGTAGACTTTCTGGTAAAAAACACAAATTTTTAATCTTGCTTTGATGATTGTACAATCTATAAAGAAATTACAGTACCTCACTTTTGCTACTCTTAAAGATGATTTGAAATCTTTTTGTCTTTTTTATTAAATATTTACTAGAAAAAATTTTATAATTATCTTTTGTATCACTCCGTATACACATCTAGCTGAAGTGGTATCAAAAATGTCATGCATAAAGCATGATCAGAAAGAATTTTCTTTAATATAAGGAAGGAATAATAGATTGTAACAAAGCTAGAAAATCTTTAAAGTAAATGAAAAATAATTCCTATCTTCTCAAGAATTGTGATCATATGGAAAAAAGTAATATATTGATTGATACATCATCATTTAACAACATTTGTGCATTAATGATTAAACTCTTGAAAAGTAGTATTTAAAAATTTGGCTAGTAAAAAATGGATCAGCTGACCTACAGTCTGGATCTGTCACTGTGCAATTATAACCTGTTTGGCTTTGCTTTTGAAACAGGAGACAAAGGAAGCCTTGGGAGACAAAAGTTACTGCATGAAGGACCCTTTTACTTCAGAGTTAGTCTTGCAGCAGTTCTGACACCAACCAAAATACTTCTATCTGCAGATATACTACTATTACCAAATGATGGGAGAAGTGTCAGTGTATGGAGGGGGAGTACTCAGAGGAAAAAAAAACTGCCACTGTGTAACCTATACTGTTCCATCACTATTACTGAAATTCTGGACAGAAGTTGAACTGGCCTCATACTTTGCTAACTCTGCTCCATAATGTTAATCTCCTTTCTTAATTTGGATTTTCCTCTACTTTTCAGTTTAAATAACTTTATTCTGCCTCTTCCAACCTTCCTTTCTTTTGATTTTTCTTACTCTCAATCTGTTGTGCCTTTATTCTTTGGCATCCCTTATACTTTTAAAGAATAGTTTTATTATGGCAATACTGCAATCAATAAGGTCAATCCATACAAATTTTTGAATGTTCTTTTTTCTCTATTCTGAGTTCTATACAGTCTGTTAAGAAGTTATAAGACAAATACATTTCTGTAGTTTTCTCAAATCTAATAATATTTAATGGTCATTTATGATTCTGAACAAAGTAAATACGATAAATAATCACATTTTTGAACAATTAGTTCAACATGTCCATATGGTTGTAGGGATATCTGAAAGATTGTGTCTGTAAAGGAGGCATACAAACTCTGCCTGAATTAAAAGCAAGCATAACATGCCATATTGCTGCAATTTCTCAAGAAACATATTGGGCTACTGTTGAACATGCTGTAAGACGCTTCGAACATGTGATTGACACAAATGGATTGCATGTTGAACAAATGTCACGAATAAAAAAAATTTTTTTGCTTGTTTCCACTGTGTTTATTGTTCGTCATGTGCCATTTTTTCATCTAGTGGTAGAAATTTGAACTAATTATTTTTTTGCATTTTCCTTTTCCCCACGATCCATATAATGTATATACCAAGTTTCATCAAAATATGTCAATGAGAACAGACTCTATACAGGTCTGAGTAGGGCAACTTTAATTATAACTACCCTGTACTATGACAGCCATAATCACAGATAAAACAATTTACCACAACAGATTAAACATCGCACTCATCGACAAACACAATAAAATCACATACATTATAGACATATCCAATCCAAACACTCACAATGTACAAAACACATGCCCCAAAAAAAAAAAAAAAAAATCAGTAAGTACACAGAACTTGCCCAGGAAATAAGGCATTTGTGGAGGATGGCTGGGGCAATTATTGTACCTGTCATTCTCTCCTCTACAGGTGTCATATCACACACACTACACAAAAGCCTGGGAACATTACAATTGAATAGGAACACATACATCACACTGCAGAAGGCCAATATATTGAATATGTGTCATATTGTTAGGAAATTCCTGAATACAGACGCACACTGACACACTTATTTAATTTTTGTTTTGTTTTGGTTGCTATGCTTTGACTCTGGTCCAGCATAGTACATAGCAAATAGTGTCAACTGAGTATAACTCACTAAACCAAACATAATAATTTTTTAAATAAATAAATTTAATTTAGAATATTCTAAAAGAAATTTATTTTGGATTATTAAATCTAACATGAGATGACAAGTTAACCACCTATCACTAGTCAAACTGATTAATATCTTATTGTAGCCCAATAAGAATTTGCTTTATCATTTGATTAATAATGTTTATCAAGTTAATTGCACACATAATTACATCTAGACCTTAACTCAAACATTGAAATTTTAAAGTTCTTACCACTAAAAACTACTCTCTTTCTCTACTCAAATATAATTTACAGTTTTAAAATACAATATCAAATAAATTAAACACCATTCTATACCAATTTAAAGCTTTGCAAAGAAAATTTTAAAAACTTTTCTTACCTCCAGTTAAAATAAGAATGATTAAATCACAAGCTAGTTTTAAAATATGTTGACTTTCATCCTTCCAGTGATTTTGATGACATTTCTCGATAACTTGCAACATAATATCTCCCATACCTAATTCAGCCATGTTTATTTTGGCAGGATCTAAATTTTTAATTTGGAAATTAAAAATAAAAGTTTGAAATAATTGCATACATACACAATATTTACCATTTTCTGCAAGATACTCCAGTAAATCCAACAACGAATCCATCAAATCACTTGACAGAGGTTTTTCAAGACCGTTCATTAAAGAACTCAAACTTGACTTTCCCATTAATTCTGATTTGCCATTTTCTGAAATTTGTAAATTTTTACACTATAAAACAATGAAGCTTAAGAGAACAACAGCATAAAAGTTTTAGATCTCATTACAAAATATACTATTTTAAAAAACACAGCTATACTTCTAATTGTATTGAAATTTAAAAATTAATTTTGATTGTAAATATATTAAAATAAAATTAGCATTGTGCTTTATTGTTTTCATATTAAAGTTAAATTATTCTTTGAAATTCACTACTGACAAAATCACTTTTTTGTTTAAATATTAATAAAGTGGTGAAAATATTTTTATTACAGTAAATGTTCTAAAACACTTTTTTATGTTTATTTTTACAGATTTGGAAAGTAAAAATTATTAAAAATTTTTATCTTGACTGAAAACTTCGAAGAAAAAAATAATCTTGAAATATAAAATTATTTATCTCCTATTAGATAAAATCATATTTAATACAGTGAAGCATCAAAAATACAAACTAATTGGGACCAGATCCCATTCGTATTTTCAAATATAAGCATACACTAGAATTTTAAGTACTATAAACCCCAAGTACACTGTAATTGGGCTGCAATTTTAAAAAATTGTAACCTATAAATTCCCACTGTCATCCATCAGTCTGTGTCTTTCGTTAATCTTGATAAAAGTTAGATAAAGCCAAGATCAGATACGTAAACCTTAAGGGCAGGAGGTCCTGATTAACTATATACAAACTTCCAGTCTAGACCAGAAGTCATGTTATTTCAATTTAAAACTTTTTCCCTGAAAGATATTAGATAGATGAGCAATATAACTATTGTTACAGGAAAAATTTGATGTACAGATGCAAGCCGCTACTAATTTAAAGTGGAGAGTATATATTTTAAATTAAATAAATTAAAAATATGATTAAAAATTGCAGCACGGCATTGTGACGATGCCGCAATAAATAATTGCTCATTTATTTATTTATTTAAGTTTAGGTGTTCTAAGTTCTAGCCAGTACTTCATACAGAATGTAGGAATACTTACAAAGTTCCAAATATAATTTACAGAATCACTATTTTTTTTTTCATATTTGTCACAATCTATATACTATACTATAGAACTATATTTAAAATATACATTAAACAGTTTCTTGTTAATTTAATGTAATGATGAGTAATAAAATTTTGATCAGAAAACCTTCAAGACAGACTAAAAGAACAATAACAATGAAGTTATCATTGATAGTGTTAATATCCATTTTTTATGGCAAAATCCAGAATTCTGAAGTCTGGATTTTCAATGCTTCACTGTGTTTTCAAAACCAATGCAGGTACAGGCAGTCCTTGAGTTGTGAATGAGTTCTGTTCCCAAGTCTTTGTTAAAGTTGAATCTATAAGTAAGCCAAAACTTGTATATATGGTTGGTATTTACCATCAGTTAGTCAAAAGTTTGTCTTAGTATAGTATATATTTTATTATAAAACCTACTGTTTATTAAAATCTCATCAGGGGAAAAACTATCAACATTATTCAATAGAACAGCTAAATAATTATTAAATTAAATTATAATCTATAAAAATCTATTTCTTCAATAGAAAAAATACAAATATATTTAGTGTTTTTGTATTTTTCTTCTTTGTAAAATCTCTAGTAAAACCTGTAGAAAATTTAGAAAATTATTTAAATAATATAGAACTGCTATAAAACTTTAATCATAACCAAAAGTTTCTAAATATTTTAAATGTCTGAAATAATAAATCACATGCTTGAAATATTTTAAAATAATGCAAATCAATAAATCAAATTTGCATTTCTTCTTTCTTCTCAATAATTCTCTTTAGTTTCCTAAAATTGTATTTTTCATTATTACCAGTTTCTTCAGTGGAGTTTAATAGTATTTTAAAAATAAAATAAATAATAAACACTATCAAATCAAAATTATTAATCTGTCCTTTCTGTTGAGTAGAAATTTACATTACTAATACATAATAGACTAATAACAGTATGTGAATTTTAATTACTATTTTGCATTTTTAAGACAGTATTCAATAACCAATTTTATGATTGTTAGTGTAAATTAGCTTAAAATATCTGTAGCTATTGTATTTTTCTTTCATTATCATACATATCAGACTGCAATAACTTTATAATGAACAGGGAAAACATTTGCCACTCAACAGAAAAATAAAGAAAGTATGAGGTTGGTTATGCTTTCAAAACATTATTATTCAAACCAATAAAATAATACAAGGAAATGATGAATAGAAAAATTTCTAAGAAAAAGAAAAAGCTGTCAGATAAGAAATTTATGAAACATTTTTCTTTGTTTCAATAAAGTTTTATTTAGTAGCCTGCAGCATTTGTAGGACCAAATTCAGTGACTTTTAACATAAAAAGTTAGATTGTGCTGAGGTATGAATTAGAACCAGTTATTCCAAGATCATCATTATTTATTTATTTTTTAATTTGGAAAGAAGGTATCAACTTATGTTTGCATTTATTGTTAAAAACATAAAAGTTGCAACCATTACAGAAATTTTTGTTTTTAAAATGCTTCTTACAAAGAGGTAATATATAACAAACTCAAGGATAAATTTTAATGATTAATGTAAAACAATACAAACAATTTTAACATGCAACACAAGTATGACCTTTCATTCCAGACAATTTTTTTATATATGTATTGTCTGAAATGTGACATTAATAATTAAAATATTAACTTTTAAAAATATATAGAATGATCAGACTGTTTAAGAAATTTCTGATAGAAAAATGTATTAATTTGTGTGTTCTAAAAATTAATAAAATATCTTATGGTGAGAAAGCATTAATATAAAATAGTTTATATAGTAATTATTTCTATATGAAAGCTGAAATGTTGAAAATAAATTTAAAAAATAGGTATCTTTATTTTAAATCTCGTAGTACATACAAATATAACTTGACCAAGGCAATTGTATTTATCAAATAAATTTCCTCAATTTAAAGAAAATATTCCATTCTAGAATGTAGTTTAAAATCATTTTAATTTCTTTTGCAAATTTGCAATTTGTAAAAAATGAGACTTAAATATTGGAACTATTGATTCTATTGGTTAAAATGATGACTAGAAATTACAGTTTAAAGAAAATGTACATGTAAATTTAAAAATCTCCATATGTGACTCAAATAACTAAAATTGATGAATTATTTTATTAATTTTATTTAATTTTTACTGAATTTTTTCTTTACTAAAAGTTAATTCAAAAAATCTTTTTAAGTACCATATTTACTCACATATAAGATGAGGTTTTTATTAATTTTTCACTGCTTCAAAAACCTATACATGTAAGCAAAGGATTCTTTGTGTTTTTGCAATAATTTTTGTGAACCAGGTATTAATATGAAAAGCGCTCAGCAACTAAATAAAGAGAAACAAAACACCTTTTTAGTCGAGAAATAAATATAATTTTAAAAAACAAACGTTTTCAGCCTAGTTAATAGGCCATCTTCAGGTATTTGTATTTTTTTTTATTGAATGCTCACTCTATGGTGTTTAAAAACAAAAGTATTTTATCTGGGTCATTTGAATCGTTCTTGTGTATTGAATAAGAATAGCAATACGAAAAACAAAGCTTTTGAATTGAATTCCAAAATCACACGGGAGCCTGATATAAGTTTAAATTTATTCCTGGTGAAATACAGATGATTATTTGGAAATCAGAATTCGGAGAAACTCTTAAGTGTAATTAACAGAGTGTGGATTTGACTGTTAAGAATAGGCAAAAAACTTCTGGATTGTCCAGCTTTACATGAACAAATTATGTTGTTGATTTTACAAGATTTTTATTTAAAGTTTAAAATGCCAGTAATTTTTGTGGGACAATGTGTGCATTTAAGTGCATTTGATATAAAATTTGAATTGTATTAATAAATCTAATTTTCTTTGTTTTGATCTTTAAAGTCACACCTTATCATATATGCGAGATCATCTTATATAAGAGTAAATATGGTATTTTTTTTAGTAACAGGTTAACCATTTAATTTCTAGATTAATTTCTATTAATCTAGAAATTAAAAGCTATAAAATAATAATTGTAATTATTACTATTGATACTTTAAATTACTATAATTAAAAAGTGAAGGTAAAAAAAAAAGACAAATATTATAAAAATATATGGAATTAAACACATACCACAAACAGATAAACAATTCAAAACCAACAAACAGTTGGTTGCAATTTCTTCATCTTCATAATATTTTTCTAAATACTTTAACAATAAGCTGATAGCACCTCCTGCAATAGCTTGTTCCTGTACTTTTTCTATTAGAAGAATTTTATGCATATGTAAAATATAAATAAAAAACAATTACATTGTATATAATTTGATTAAATTCAAAATTTTACCTATTGTGTCTGTTAGATTCATAAGACAGCCAACAGAAACATATATCAAATATCTAGTTTCTGTTGATTCTACCCTAGATAAACTATTTAATAAGTCAATAATTTTAAAAACACCTTGGTGATTCATCACAATTTCACAAGCTTCATCTGTAAAAATTTTACAAAAATTTAATATCTTAGTTAAAAATAAAAATAAAGTATTATTATTTACAATTTACCATTAATATAACATATATTTCCTAAAAAATAAAAATAAAGTATTATTATTTACAATTTACCATTAATATAACATNAGTTAAAAAAACAGTAAATTTAATACAAAATACAAAAAAATATTTAATGTTTAAATATTTTAAACTGAAAAACATACATTCAATAATTGAAAAATGTCAGTTCAAGAATGATATAAGCCCATGGACTAATTTTCAAGATAAACAAAAAACTGTGCTACTATTAAAGTATTTGAATGCTTCTGACATCTATAATTAGGTGTGATATATTTAATATATTCCTATTGTATGAACAGAAGGCAAAATGATTGATAACTCAAGACCAGCCATTTGTGGACTTAGAGACTAATTCAAGAATGATATTTGTTTATAAAAAATTTTAAACATTTGTTTCCTTTGCTTACTTATGATTTTGAAGGAAATATTAAAAGTATATATGAACACAGTACAATATTTTGTATTTTTGTATTGTTTCTACAGCATCTACATCTTTTCCTTTTCATACTAATCAATAAATTTTCAATATTTACAATGTTTGTTTGGTCTTTTTTTGTGATGGCATGAGCATACAGAAATGCTCTTATGGTCTCTAATATACAAAGTGTTTCAGTAAAACTCATCACTGGTTGGTCTCAGCTTGAACAATGAAGCTGACATTGTTATCATCACTGCCATCATCTTGCATCCTCCAAACAACTTTCACTTTCCACTATAATACACCAACATATTGCAAGCTTCTGGTCCACAAGCATCTGGACCAGAAGCTTGCAATACCAGTACTGCTTGCTCCAGCCAAAGTCAGTCTTCATCTTGCATGACATCATTCTTAACACTTCTGTTAACCTCCATAGTGTCAGACCCTTCTTCATTCTTCTTCCTTTAGCCACACTGTACAAAACAATAAAATGGATAGTTCTGCACTAGCTGTTTGATCACATTCATTTCAACTGTATCACATTGGTAAAGTTTGAAGGATAAAAAATCATCTTTACATTCTTTAATAAGAATATGTAAGGAGAATGAACAGTACAACTATCTACAAACAAGAGGTTTCTTCCTGTGTTGTGCACCAAATAATTCAAAAAGAGCACAGAAAGTCTGAAAACCTGTCAGCAATCATGCTTTCAAGTTGGTATAGTATGTCATAAGTGGTGCATATTAACATTTGTGTGTGTGGTGTTTCTTACAAATGATCAATTTGGGATTAATTTTCTTCAGAACTAAAAATTTGAACTGATAGATACAGGACAACAGTAAATCTAGTAAATGTAGATTTAATTTTCATAATTTAAATAGGATTTGTTCATGGGCAAATTAAACAATGTTTCTGGAAAATGATACATGCAGAAACAATATATCAAGGTTTCACTGTATTATGTATAAAAATGTTAAAAATTTAAGTTATTCAAAGAACATAAACAACAATTTTTTCAGTATGTAATGTTATTGAGATAGTAGTACCAATTTTATTTTCAAATAAAAAGAATTATTTTGATGACTGTTGAGAAAAGACCGTGTGCTTTGTTAGATTTAATCAGCTTTAATTGACAGAATCTATTATGTAATTCTTCTAAGTAAATTACAGCAGTTTGTATTGCTGTAGCATATTTAATTAAACATAGATCTAAAAAATTAGAAGTTATATTTACAGTAATGATACATTTGCTTTATTTAAATTAAATTATTATTTGGCTTCTTCATTGGATTATTATTTTTATGTATTGGTCTTGTCTTTGATTTCATTATAAATATAAAATAGTATCATTATGGAAATATATGATTGGTATCATATATTTGAAATAACTTGTAGTTTCAGTTAAATGACAATTCAAATAGAATATTTAAGTTTTTTAATGTGAATATGAAGTGTTGAGAATATGAACTATGTTTTATAAGTCCAGAATCTTATATTTATTTAATGTTAAAAATTAGTCATTCTGAAATCGTAAATGTATATATTATATACATGGTGAGATATTTAATTAAGAGTTTTTGATATATTTTATAGTCAATATTAATCTATACAGGATGTAAATGAGATGTTATTACACAAATTGGGAGCAGGTTCAGTGATCCCAAATGATAATATTTGCTTATAATACTTATGGCCAGAAATATGATATACGAATGGTAGAGGGCTGTGAAATTTTGCTTACTATAAAGCAACAGTGCAAATCAGATATTCTAGGACAAATAGTTACAGCAAGTACAACATCAAAACATTTCCAGTTATCTTCCAAAGAGTTTGGCAAAATATCAAGTGCAAATCATTTAAGTGATTGCAGGCAGCTTATTTACAACACTTTCTATGATATTGTACAGAATATTACAGTATCACAATCAATAAGGATTTAGCAATAAAATCCATTTTCCTAACAGGTGTGCATTTGTAACATGTCATATGTCGTAGTACCATAGGAACAACAGCACTAGCAAAATTTCAGAGTCTGCTACTGTTCATATGATACATTTTCAGCAATAAGTATACAATAGACCCCCCTATAACATGGTAGATAATTCCGTGTTATGTGAATTCCATGTTGTATGAGTCACTTAGATTTTACAAATATGTGAGCCATTCACAGCCTGGAACACGTATTTGTAAAATCTAAGTGACTCGTACAACATGGAATTCATATAACACAGAATTCTCTACCATGTTATAGGGGGTCTAATGTAATAAGCAAATATCTTTGGACCAATGAACATGACTTGTGTAATATTATCTCATTTATACTCTGTATAAACAAACTGTTCTGTATTTACAATAATTTGCATAAAAAGTAAATTAATAGCTGCTCATTATTATAAAAATATGTTTACTCAAACCAACAATTAGTAAATAAGAATATAAAATCATTACTTTTTAATATAATTCAAATTAAAAAGAACAACTTACCAGGTATAGCTAAATTTCTGAGAGCTGATAAAACAGCATGCAACAGTCTGATATCATTATCTTTACTATGTTTTTCAAGAAGACACAAAAGACTTTCTGATATGTGATCTTCAACCATATGTATACAATAACTATCTACAAAACATTTCAAAATTTAACACTAAAATCCTGAAAGTCAAATAACTTACATTATCCTTACCTTTTCTAGCAAAATTCCCAGCTGCTAAGGCACCAGCAATCTGCATGACATCATCATCCGAATTCAACCAACATTTAGTTTTCTGATAGACATTTCCATTACCTTCTTCATATAAAATGCTCATACTAGTATCTATTAAAGAAATAAGAATTTAACATTTTTTCTAATTTTATTCTGTCATAAACACCTTTTGGTAGACTTTCTGGTAAAAAACACAAATTTTTAATCTTGCTTTGATGATTGTACAATCTATAAAGAAATTACAGTACCTCACTTTTGCTACTCTTAAAGATGATTTGAAATCTTTTTGTCTTTTTTATTAAATATTTACTAGAAAAAATTTTATAATTATCTTTTGTATCACTCCGTATACACATCTAGCTGAAGTGGTATCAAAAATGTCATGCATAAAGCATGATCAGAAAGAATTTTCTTTAATATAAGGAAGGAATAATAGATTGTAACAAAGCTAGAAAATCTTTAAAGTAAATGAAAAATAATTCCTATCTTCTCAAGAATTGTGATCATATGGAAAAAAGTAATATATTGATTGATACATCATCATTTAACAACATTTGTGCATTAATGATTAAACTCTTGAAAAGTAGTATTTAAAAATTTGGCTAGTAAAAAATGGATCAGCTGACCTACAGTCTGGATCTGTCACTGTGCAATTATAACCTGTTTGGCTTTGCTTTTGAAACAGGAGACAAAGGAAGCCTTGGGAGACAAAAGTTACTGCATGAAGGACCCTTTTACTTCAGAGTTAGTCTTGCAGCAGTTCTGACACCAACCAAAATACTTCTATCTGCAGATATACTACTATTACCAAATGATGGGAGAAGTGTCAGTGTATGGAGGGGGAGTACTCAGAGGAAAAAAAAACTGCCACTGTGTAACCTATACTGTTCCATCACTATTACTGAAATTCTGGACAGAAGTTGAACTGGCCTCATACTTTGCTAACTCTGCTCCATAATGTTAATCTCCTTTCTTAATTTGGATTTTCCTCTACTTTTCAGTTTAAATAACTTTATTCTGCCTCTTCCAACCTTCCTTTCTTTTGATTTTTCTTACTCTCAATCTGTTGTGCCTTTATTCTTTGGCATCCCTTATACTTTTAAAGAATAGTTTTATTATGGCAATACTGCAATCAATAAGGTCAATCCATACAAATTTTTGAATGTTCTTTTTTCTCTATTCTGAGTTCTATACAGTCTGTTAAGAAGTTATAAGACAAATACATTTCTGTAGTTTTCTCAAATCTAATAATATTTAATGGTCATTTATGATTCTGAACAAAGTAAATACGATAAATAATCACATTTTTGAACAATTAGTTCAACATGTCCATATGGTTGTAGGGATATCTGAAAGATTGTGTCTGTAAAGGAGGCATACAAACTCTGCCTGAATTAAAAGCAAGCATAACATGCCATATTGCTGCAATTTCTCAAGAAACATATTGGGCTACTGTTGAACATGCTGTAAGACGCTTCGAACATGTGATTGACACAAATGGATTGCATGTTGAACAAATGTCACGAATAAAAAAAATTTTTTTGCTTGTTTCCACTGTGTTTATTGTTCGTCATGTGCCATTTTTTCATCTAGTGGTAGAAATTTGAACTAATTATTTTTTTGCATTTTCCTTTTCCCCACGATCCATATAATGTATATACCAAGTTTCATCAAAATATGTCAATGAGAACAGACTCTATACAGGTCTGAGTAGGGCAACTTTAATTATAACTACCCTGTACTATGACAGCCATAATCACAGATAAAACAATTTACCACAACAGATTAAACATCGCACTCATCGACAAACACAATAAAATCACATACATTATAGACATATCCAATCCAAACACTCACAATGTACAAAACACATGCCCAAAAAAAAAAAAAAAAAAAATCAGTAAGTACACAGAACTTGCCCAGGAAATAAGGCATTTGTGGAGGATGGCTGGGGCAATTATTGTACCTGTCATTCTCTCCTCTACAGGTGTCATATCACACACACTACACAAAAGCCTGGGAACATTACAATTGAATAGGAACACATACATCACACTGCAGAAGGCCAATATATTGAATATGTGTCATATTGTTAGGAAATTCCTGAATACAGACGCACACTGACACACTTATTTAATTTTTGTTTTGTTTTGGTTGCTATGCTTTGACTCTGGTCCAGCATAGTACATAGCAAATAGTGTCAACTGAGTATAACTCACTAAACCAAACATAATAATTTTTTAAATAAATAAATTTAATTTAGAATATTCTAAAAGAAATTTATTTTGGATTATTAAATCTAACATGAGATGACAAGTTAACCACCTATCACTAGTCAAACTGATTAATATCTTATTGTAGCCCAATAAGAATTTGCTTTATCATTTGATTAATAATGTTTATCAAGTTAATTGCACACATAATTACATCTAGACCTTAACTCAAACATTGAAATTTTAAAGTTCTTACCACTAAAAACTACTCTCTTTCTCTACTCAAATATAATTTACAGTTTTAAAATACAATATCAAATAAATTAAACACCATTCTATACCAATTTAAAGCTTTGCAAAGAAAATTTTAAAAACTTTTCTTACCTCCAGTTAAAATAAGAATGATTAAATCACAAGCTAGTTTTAAAATATGTTGACTTTCATCCTTCCAGTGATTTTGATGACATTTCTCGATAACTTGCAACATAATATCTCCCATACCTAATTCAGCCATGTTTATTTTGGCAGGATCTAAATTTTTAATTTGGAAATTAAAAATAAAAGTTTGAAATAATTGCATACATACACAATATTTACCATTTTCTGCAAGATACTCCAGTAAATCCAACAACGAATCCATCAAATCACTTGACAGAGGTTTTTCAAGACCGTTCATTAAAGAACTCAAACTTGACTTTCCCATTAATTCTGATTTGCCATTTTCTGAAATTTGTAAATTTTTACACTATAAAACAATGAAGCTTAAGAGAACAACAGCATAAAAGTTTTAGATCTCATTACAAAATATACTATTTTAAAAAACACAGCTATACTTCTAATTGTATTGAAATTTAAAAATTAATTTTGATTGTAAATATATTAAAATAAAATTAGCATTGTGCTTTATTGTTTTCATATTAAAGTTAAATTATTCTTTGAAATTCACTAGTGACAAAATCACTTTTTTGTTTAAATATTAATAAATTTGTGAAAATATTTTTATTACAGTAAATGTTCTAAAACACTTTTTTATGTTTATTTTTACAGATTTGGAAAGTAAAAATTATTAAAAATTTTTATCTTGACTGAAAACTTCGAAGAAAAAAATAATCTTGAAATATAAAATTATTTATCTCCTATTAGATAAAATCATATTTAATACAGTGAAGCATCAAAAATACAAACTAATTGGGACCAGATCCCATTCGTATTTTCAAATATAAGCATACACTAGAATTTTAAGTACTATAAACCCCAAGTACACTGTAATTGGGCTGCAATTTTAAAAAATTGTAACCTATAAATTCCCACTGTCATCCATCAGTCTGTGTCTTTCGTTAATCTTGATAAAAGTTAGATAAAGCCAAGATCAGATACGTAAACCTTAAGGGCAGGAGGTCCTGATTAACTATATACAAACTTCCAGTCTAGACCAGAAGTCATGTTATTTCAATTTAAAACTTTTTCCCTGAAAGATATTAGATAGATGAGCAATATAACTATTGTTACAGGAAAAATTTGATGTACAGATGCAAGCCGCTACTAATTTAAAGTGGAGAGTATATATTTTAAATTAAATAAATTAAAAATATGATTAAAAATTGCAGCACGGCATTGTGACGATGCCGCAATAAATAATTGCTCATTTATTTATTTATTTAAGTTTAGGTGTTCTAAGTTCTAGCCAGTACTTCATACAGAATGTAGGAATACTTACAAAGTTCCAAATATAATTTACAGAATCACTATTTTTTTTTTCATATTTGTCACAATCTATATACTATACTATAGAACTATATTTAAAATATACATTAAACAGTTTCTTGTTAATTTAATGTAATGATGAGTAATAAAATTTTGATCAGAAAACCTTCAAGACAGACTAAAAGAACAATAACAATGAAGTTATCATTGATAGTGTTAATATCCATTTTTTATGGCAAAATCCAGAATTCTGAAGTCTGGATTTTCAATGCTTCACTGTGTTTTCAAAACCAATGCAGGTACAGGCAGTCCTTGAGTTGTGAATGAGTTCTGTTCCCAAGTCTTTGTTAAAGTTGAATCTATAAGTAAGCCAAAACTTGTATATATGGTTGGTATTTACCATCAGTTAGTCAAAAGTTTGTCTTAGTATAGTATATATTTTATTATAAAACCTACTGTTTATTAAAATCTCATCAGGGGAAAAACTATCAACATTATTCAATAGAACAGCTAAATAATTATTAAATTAAATTATAATCTATAAAAATCTATTTCTTCAATAGAAAAAATACAAATATATTTAGTGTTTTTGTATTTTTCTTCTTTGTAAAATCTCTAGTAAAACCTGTAGAAAATTTAGAAAATTATTTAAATAATATAGAACTGCTATAAAACTTTAATCATAACCAAAAGTTTCTAAATATTTTAAATGTCTGAAATAATAAATCACATGCTTGAAATATTTTAAAATAATGCAAATCAATAAATCAAATTTGCATTTCTTCTTTCTTCTCAATAATTCTCTTTAGTTTCCTAAAATTGTATTTTTCATTATTACCAGTTTCTTCAGTGGAGTTTAACAGTATTTTAAAAATAAAATAAATAATAAACACTATCAAATCAAAATTATTAATCTGTCCTTTCTGTTGAGTAGAAATTTACATTACTAATACATAATAGACTAATAACAGTATGTGAATTTTAATTACTATTTTGCATTTTTAAGACAGTATTCAATAACCAATTTTATGATTGTTAGTGTAAATTAGCTTAAAATATCTGTAGCTATTGTATTTTTCTTTCATTATCATACATATCAGACTGCAATAACTTTATAATGAACAGGGAAAACATTTGCCACTCAACAGAAAAATAAAGAAAGTATGAGGTTGGTTATGCTTTCAAAACATTATTATTCAAACCAATAAAATAATACAAGGAAATGATGAATAGAAAAATTTCTAAGAAAAAGAAAAAGCTGTCAGATAAGAAATTTATGAAACATTTTTCTTTGTTTCAATAAAGTTTTATTTAGTAGCCTGCAGCATTTGTAGGACCAAATTCAGTGACTTTTAACATAAAAAGTTAGATTGTGCTGAGGTATGAATTAGAACCAGTTATTCCAAGATCATCATTATTTATTTATTTTTTAATTTGGAAAGAAGGTATCAACTTATGTTTGCATTTATTGTTAAAAACATAAAAGTTGCAACCATTACAGAAATTTTTGCTTTTAAAATGCTTCTTACAAAGAGGTAATATATAACAAACTCAAGGATAAATTTTAATGATTAGTCAAACTGATTAATATCTTATTGTAGCCCAATAAGAATTTGCTTTATTGGTGTTTGTTTTAAGGCAAGTCAACTGTATATACCATGCCACAGAAAAGCAATGATTGGCTGTGTGTCTTAGTAGGTGATTACAGGTCAAGGACAANATAAAATATCTTATGGTGAGAAAGCATTAATATAAAATAGTTTATATAGTAATTATTTCTATATGAAAGCTGAAATGTTGAAAATAAATTTAAAAAATAGGTATCTTTATTTTAAATCTCGTAGTACATACAAATATAACTTGACCAAGGCAATTGTATTTATCAAATAAATTTCCTCAATTTAAAGAAAATATTCCATTCTAGAATGTAGTTTAAAATCATTTTAATTTCTTTTGCAAATTTGCAATTTGTAAAAAATGAGACTTAAATATTGGAACTATTGATTCTATTGGTTAAAATGATGACTAGAAATTACAGTTTAAAGAAAATGTACATGTAAATTTAAAAATCTCCATATGTGACTCAAATAACTAAAATTGATGAATTATTTTATTAATTTTATTTAATTTTTACTGAATTTTTTCTTTACTAAAAGTTAATTCAAAAAATCTTTTTAAGTACCATATTTACTCACATATAAGATGAGGTTTTTATTAATTTTTCACTGCTTCAAAAACCTATACATGTAAGCAAAGGATTCTTTGTGTTTTTGCAATAATTTTTGTGAACCAGGTATTAATATGAAAAGCGCTCAGCAACTAAATAAAGAGAAACAAAACACCTTTTTAGTCGAGAAATAAATATAATTTTAAAAAACAAACGTTTTCAGCCTAGTTAATAGGCCATCTTCAGGTATTTGTATTTTTTTTTATTGAATGCTCACTCTATGGTGTTTAAAAACAAAAGTATTTTATCTGGGTCATTTGAATCGTTCTTGTGTATTGAATAAGAATAGCAATACGAAAAACAAAGCTTTTGAATTGAATTCCAAAATCACACGGGAGCCTGATATAAGTTTAAATTTATTCCTGGTGAAATACAGATGATTATTTGGAAATCAGAATTCGGAGAAACTCTTAAGTGTAATTAACAGAGTGTGGATTTGACTGTTAAGAATAGGCAAAAAACTTCTGGATTGTCCAGCTTTACATGAACAAATTATGTTGTTGATTTTACAAGATTTTTATTTAAAGTTTAAAATGCCAGTAATTTTTGTGGGACAATGTGTGCATTTAAGTGCATTTGATATAAAATTTGAATTGTATTAATAAATCTAATTTTCTTTGTTTTGATCTTTAAAGTCACACCTTATCATATATGCGAGATCATCTTATATAAGAGTAAATATGGTATTTTTTTTAGTAACAGGTTAACCATTTAATTTCTAGATTAATTTCTATTAATCTAGAAATTAAAAGCTATAAAATAATAATTGTAATTATTACTATTGATACTTTAAATTACTATAATTAAAAAGTGAAGGTAAAAAAAAAAGACAAATATTATAAAAATATATGGAATTAAACACATACCACAAACAGATAAACAATTCAAAACCAACAAACAGTTGGTTGCAATTTCTTCATCTTCATAATATTTTTCTAAATACTTTAACAATAAGCTGATAGCACCTCCTGCAATAGCTTGTTCCTGTACTTTTTCTATTAGAAGAATTTTATGCATATGTAAAATATAAATAAAAAACAATTACATTGTATATAATTTGATTAAATTCAAAATTTTACCTATTGTGTCTGTTAGATTCATAAGACAGCCAACAGAAACATATATCAAATATCTAGTTTCTGTTGATTCTACCCTAGATAAACTATTTAATAAGTCAATAATTTTAAAAACACCTTGGTGATTCATCACAATTTCACAAGCTTCATCTGTAAAAATTTTACAAAAATTTAATATCTTAGTTAAAAATAAAAATAAAGTATTATTATTTACAATTTACCATTAATATAACATATATTTCCTAAAGCTCGAACAGCCTGCAACAATAATGCATTGTTATCACTCGATAAAAGTTCTAATAAATAGCATATTAGTTCTTCATCTGTACATCTTTTTCTTGCAGCATCTGTAAAAAAGGCCAACTTCATACATTGTATTTATATTATTACATTACATAGTTAAATTTTGCTTATTAACACAGAATAAAATTTATTTTCAAACTTGAGAGAACAAACATAATACTTAAAATTTTAGTGATTATATTAAAATTATTACCATTTTTTGTCACTTCAGCAACTATTTCTACTGCTTCTATAAGTGATTTATTTTCCAATTTTTTAGATAAAAGTATTGACTGTAACTGCAAAATTGAGCCTTCTTCCTCTTTAAGCTGTTTGATTATCAGTTCTTTGTTATTTCCTAAAAATTTATAGTTAAACTGTTTCACCATCTTTCTTATAAATTATAAAACATTTAAAAAATTAAATTTCAGTTGTTAATAGAAATAAAATAGAAGACATTCCAGAAGAAACTGTGATAGAAACTTGTCTAAAATAATAAAAAAAATCACTAATGAATAAAAACCTTCAGTGAGTCAAGTCTGATTAAGACAATGACTATCTTGAGATATGAAACTAGAATATCTTATTCAGAGATATAAAACTTCTGCAATATGCATGATTTTATGAGGATAAAGTTTTCTTTAAATGAGTTTTAAAGCCTTTTTTCATTGAGAACTGATTTTCATTTAAATACGATTGTAATAAAAAAATATATCAATAGGAAATTTAAATGAATAATTACAAATTCTTCATTATAATCCCTAACCTAAACCTAAATGTTTTTATATTGTTAAACGGCCACAGATGCATTTTGTTTCTTAATAGCTTAAGTTGTATGCAAAGTTAGGTAAAATTAAACATGAGAAAATGGAATACTACTATCCTTTAAATAAAAATAATGACTTTCTCACAAGGGTGTGAGAATGCATCTTAAAATTTTAAGAGATGTGAGTGACAGAAAAGGCCAAGGAATCACTTCTTTAAAGATAATGCAGACAAAGCATTTATTTACATTAATACAGTAGAACAGCATTAATTAACTTTATATTGAAATAAAAATAAGCATATTTACTTTTTATATAATTGTTTATAAAACTACCATTAGATTTTTGTGCCCCTCATTTGTATACAAAATTGCACAAAAACATTGAAAACTTATATTACATTAGATGTTAGTTTTAATGTGCTGTACATTTTATTTTCCATTACACAAAAATTTGTTCATATCATTTTAAACAAATGTATTTATAATAATATCTTGCAATTTAATGTAAAAAAGAAAATGGATCACATTACATAAAAAATAGACAATAGATCAAAACAAATATTGTTTTCATTCAAATTAACCAGAAATAAAAAAAAAAAATTTTTCATTATGATCTACTTTCGACATAAATGTAATTTCATTAAAGATTATTTATAAATAGAAAAGACATCAAAAAAGTAGAACAAAAATTGTTCAAAACAAGGACAGAAGCACTTGTTAATATTACATTTTCCTAATATCACACTCCAGTTAATATAAATAGATAATGCTTTAATAATTAATAAACTTTTTTAGTTACTGGCCTTTAAAATTTTTCTACTTGTACAATAATAAAATGCTATAGTTTATGAAAATCTAGGTAAACTATTGTCTCTCTATGGTATAGATTTATATATAATCAATGACATGTAAAGATAATAATCTACTCTGAATTAAAGACAATAACATATAATAAAAAATGAACTGTTAAATGAAATGGTTGTTATGTACTAATATAAGTTTTAGACAAGTTTAAGTGTTTGTATTAAATATCCAGGTACTGTACATAAAATATAACAAACAATTACCTTTTTCTAAATTGGTGAGACTTAATTCTAAATCAAAAGAAGGCAGTGATGTTTCTTCATTGGATATTTTAGGGTCTTCAGTATTTTGTGCTATTTCTTGTTCTGGAAATAAGATTAATTTTGAAAAATTAAAAATATAAATAACATAAGGTGTGTCATTCCAAACTGTATTCATTCTACATGTTAGTTTATAAACCAATATTATCAGTGTCAGGTTTAAAGCTTTAAAAAACTTTATTGAATTCTGAAAAGTAATGAGATGCACTTTGGAATGACACATCTCATACAAGGTGGTCCAAAAGTTAATGAACCAATATATTATTATTATTATTTTAAGTGATTAATACAGAATACTTTCTTCATTAGATAACAACTAGCAACATGCAACTGTTCCAAACCAGTTTTAACTGTTGTGAAAATCACATTAAATATCAGGTAACCAACTTTTGGACCTAACAATAAACTTAATGAATCAATTTTTTGTGTGTTAAGTCCCACAAATTTTAAAATTATTCTAGAAATGTCAAATTTCCTATGTTTGGTCATATATTTTATGTAATATTATACCTTGTGATGCACTTGTAGTGCAAATAAGTTGGAAGATAAATCATTTACATATACATATTGGTTTTTTACTCATTAAAAAAGAATAAAATCATCAAATAATGAAAAATTGGCTGATCATGGCAACTTATTTTGAGAAACAGAACTGTAGTTAACAATTTTTGCCTAAGTTGCTACAAAAAAAAAAACCACATTGCTCATACCATCATTAATTATTAAATCAATCTGTAAGAAGTATTTGAGTGTAATAACACATGATTTAAATTCAGCTAATTTGGTAGTAATATGGAATAATTCCTTAAGCTTATAGAATCATAGACTTTGATCCTCCTTCCAAAATATTTATTTGAATTTCTTGTCCATGCTGACAACAAAAACCAACTGATAATATTAAGTGGGATAAGTGAATAAAACTATATTTAGTGAAAATTTTGACGTTTTTACTCTGATATTGAAAGACACATTAAAACCCAAAGATTTATTAGTCATCATTATGTATATATATTACACAAAGGAGATTTTTGTTAGATGAACTCCTTGATTTCTCAGTGGATTTGAACAAATTAAGTGTCTGTAGATAGGGGTGGACCCACCCCTAGAACTGGCACTTACAGTAAGTAATGTTTTAAATATTTATCTAAGATTAACCACTGTATTTATGCAAATTCATAGATACATAATTGCAATACTTCAAATTACAATTACTATGCCACCTATTAAGCTCCACTTTATATGTACTGTACTGTACATAGCAGATGGCAAAAAATTTGAGAAAATAAATATTTTTATTTTTATAAGCAGAAGTTGTTTAGTTTTAATTATCTTTTGAAATAAATATACAGTAGCAGCCAAGGAAATTGCACTTTTCTGTATATATACTGAAAAGTGTTCATCATATGTGCAAAACAGCACATTTAAACTATAAATGTAATTTGTAATAACATCATTATGTAGTACAGAAAAAAAAACAAACATTACTACACTCTCCATTTTTTTTATACCAATCTACACTTCCCTCATGCAAATAATTTGTTTGTCCCATATTCATAAATAATCCATACACACTTATATTAAATTGCATTTGAAAGAGATTATGCAAAAGTTAATTAACTACATATTCAAATCCTCTGCAAGGTCTGTGTGGGTAATTGACAATTCTATAGTTTATTTGATGTTACTACTACCAACTTAAAGTTCTTCTATTAGTTTCTTCTTAAAATAACTAAAGAATGTTGTTTTATGGCTTAATTTTAAAGCATAGTTTAAAAAAAATACAAAATTCTATTTACACATCAATTCTGTTTTCTGAAAATGCAAATATCCAGAATATTGTCTACTATTGGTGGCATTGAGAAATGATGTTAGAATTCCAAAATTGACAGTAATCTGGTTGATAACAGATTTACTTCTGATAGCAAATAGTCTCTGACTTATGACAATTCTATCATAAATTAAACTTAAAAATAATGGTGATACAGCTCTAAACGTTATTCATAAAGCTTATATAGTACAATCTTGGTAATTTGATACGTGGAACCAGAACAGTGTAAAATTAAGGAGAATGCCAGATTATTGGAAGTAAGGTAAATTCGATGGCTTAATCATTCAGAAAGAAAATATTTACAGTGGTGCCTCATTCTCTGAATTGAATTTGTTCCAAGAGGCTGTTCGAACTCCTGTCCATATCAACAAAGTCCAAATCAATTATTAGAAATAATGGAAAGTCAAATAATCTGCTCCTAGACCCTAAACAATACCCATTTTGATATACTTAATCAGCAAATACACAAAATTTAAGATGAAAATATCACAATTAAATGCTCTAAATAATAAATTAAAAGATGGAACAATAAATAAAATATGTAAATAATGTATAATAAAATGGAAATTGCATTAACTGTATCTTAATGAAGAGTGATGATGTCCTGTTTCTTAAGGTCATTATGCAGTTTGCTTGGCTTTATTACAAATAATCATCTTGGAGAAGATACAGTACTATCAGCCAATTCTTTCTCAGTTATTGACATAAAAGTTTTTCCATCTCCTCAATAATATGCAATCTCCTGGAGGTCAATGTTGTCACAGCTTTAGCCACATTTGATGCTTTTATTGCTTCCTTGTCCTTAAGAATACTGCATGCCATCAACTTCAGCATCTTACACTTGGTCTCCAGATCCATCACATATTGCAAGTATGCAGTATATAAGTTTCTTTTTAGGTCATTTGTTGATACTGTAACCTTTCTCTTAGGTTTTGTTGCTTCCAGACACTTCTTGAATACCAGGATAATAATAGGGGCCAAACAATTGCCGTAATTAATCAGGCTATTAATATGCTATAATTAATAATTAAAAACTAAGTAATTTGGTACTAGTTAATTAAAAGTAATTAATAGTCTGATTAATTATGACAATTGTTTGGCTTAGTATCAATACATCATGTTTCAGGAAGTTGATATTTGTAAAAAAATTCTCTGAAAATATACAAGTGTAATGCAAGAGATGTTTTCACAGTGAGAGCAAGAGCCAACTTAGATGCATAACAGAAAGCATTTACACAGTGAGTGCAACTTTTTATTGTGTGTGCAGTTTGATTGTAGAGTCATCATTTCAATTCTGAGTCAAATTTCTCTCAACTGTAGCATTCAAACTCTGGAATATTCAAAGTATAAAGTACCACTGTAGTTGCATGATATTAGTACATTGTATTAATCAAAAACATAGAGTCGACCCCCATATAACACTGTTGATAATTCCGTTTTATATGAATTCCATGTTGTACGAGTCACTTAGATTTTACAAATACGTGAGCCGTTCACAGCCCGACACGTATTTATAAAATCTAAGTGACTCATACAATATGGAATTCATATAAAACGGAATTATCAACAGTGTTATGGGGGGGGTCAACTGTACAGGCTACAGTATGACAACAAAATATGAAAAGAGGATAATCATATGTTACTGTATTTAGAGTTCTCAACATAATCATCCTTTTAAGATAATTTTCAATTGTCTTCTGATATTTTGTCTTCCAAGCACAATGCCATCACTGATGACAAGTATCGCCAAGTTGGAAGATTTCTGCTAAATTTAGCAGTAAACTAGTGACTGTGGAAGATTTAGTATAAAGTACAATATTTTTGGTGAAAATTTCACGGGCTGATTTTTATATTTATGCAATATTGTGTTATAAAATACTGTATCATTTGTGCAGCCTAAGATGATTAGCCTACCAATCTTTAATATTGTGCCCAAGTTTAATTAAGCTTGATATCAAGCTTTATTCACATTTTTCAATATAGTAAATGTAGACATATAATATAAATTTTCAATTTACACTTTCCTTTGGGGCACAGAATTTTAAATATAAGAAAACTATTTTACCACTTAGACAACAAGTACTAATGAATTAAAAACCTGTTGTATTGAATGTGCACATGTTCTCTAAGCAACAGAGATGTTGCATTTGCTTATACAATGTTGCCACCTAGCCAACATATACGATAATAATTATAAAAAATTTAGCACCTTTCGTCAGATTTAAATCTAAGTGGTTATGTTCTAACTATTAACTGCATAATCAGTTGAAAGTACAGACATTTTGTTTATTTTTTCTAATTATAGTATAAACATGGACAGGGCTTTAAAATAAGGATGTATGGTAACCCTACTCACTTATAATCATATGACATTCACAACCAAGAATCAAGAATAGAGTTAGAAGTTAATCAATTACCTTTCACTTTACTTTTATTATAAGAATGCTTATTGATTAACTTGTAACTGTAACTCTTATCCTTAGTTGTGAATACAGATGTTAGTGATTTTTCAGGAATTAGTTGTCATAACATGAATTATTGTTTTTATCATATAACAACTTGCTGTTGTAAAATAATTTATCAGCCAAAATTAAGTGTGATTTTTAATAATGCACTACAAAAGATGAATTGTATTTTCAAAAATTACTTTCAAACTCACTATGTTTTTTGCAAATAAATACAAATAATGCAACAAATTTCTTTTATTATTTATAAATATATACTAAATGATACAATTTGTAAAATTAACAATTCAATATTATTATTATTTTGTTCAAAAATGACAAATGAAACTTTAAAACAATCCTATACTCTGTGGCCAGTGTAGCCCTGTTAAAAAAAATTAAAATGTTCATTGGTATAATTATAGACAGAACTAGATATCTTAACAGTGAATGATTATATATTTATATTTAAACAAATATTTTGTACTTTTGTTGAGTCATCATCAGGTTCAAGCTCCTGATAATCTAACATTAGAACAAGCAGACAAACAAAAAATCATATGACTTTTTTTGCTTGTCAAAACATTTTAAATTTAAATCATTTTATGCACTGCTAGAAAAAATATTCTACGATAAATTCTTAAATATACTTTTTTTGATTAAATTTACATAATTATGTTATATTGCTTAGTGTCTTTTCCTGTTAGTCACTGCTACGTACACATTTCATTATGAATTTTGAATTATATAATTTTTGTCACAAATATAGTCAATATATAAAATATAGTAATTAAATTATTTGTATGTAAGTATCTGATGTTACCAATAATTAAATAATTCATTTATTTAGTAAATATATAAATGCACTTTCCTGGAAGTGTCCTTAAATGTTTTTTTAATATAACATTTAAAATGTTTAAACTGAAATTTAATTTGCCCTGAATATAAAAGGATTAAATTTTTAATATTTTTCAAATAAAATTCTATGAAAGTTAGTTTTTACAGTTAATTATCTTGGAATTATCTCAGAATTAATGCCAATTTTTATTTTATATTAGCAAAGATAGATATGTTTATGGTCTCATTTAAGTACGGTCATTTGTATATGTTAACACGTATAAAATATAACGCAAGCTCCTTTCTATAGAACTTTCTAAATTTACACACAACTCGGTGTCGTCACGTTAAAATTTGTCTGCCCGACAGTCACAAGCCAACACGTCAGTCTGTCATTCAGGATCTCATTTAAGTCCACACAAACCCAGCAACAGATTAAGACCTTCTAGGGCCCATAGACACGGAAGATTAGGAGATCTTCCACATAAATAAACACAATAAAACGTCTAATTTTAGCTACAGGCATTGCTTATAAATTAAAATATACAATTGCAACAGTAAAATTGCATTATTTCTTTTCTAGAGGCTTGTGTCTCATATGCCTAGTGGATAATATGGCAATGCTCAAACCACAAAATGTCATTTAGTGTCAAAATGTCATTAGATCGGAGCATCATTCCTCATCTCTCTCCATTGTCGATCACAACTATTCTCAATGAAAATATAGACGATACCTGGCACTAACAGATCATTCATCCACACTAAAATTCATCTGTTTGTTTATGTCATAGTAATATAAATGATATACATTTTTTTCTGGATGATCTTTGATATTATATTGATTAATAAATCTTGTAAGATGTTCCTTACTTCATTTTTTTACTGGAAAGAAGAATATGAAAATTTATCTTTGTCTAAATGTTTACATTGCATGTATTGTAAGTTTACTGAATGATTAAAACCAAAGGAAATAGCATGTGAATGGGAGAATCTGTGAATAAAAACACAGACACTTGTATTTTTAACTTGTCTGATGTATTTTTAACTGAGTAAAGAGCATAAAAAAATTGATTGAAAACTCACCATTCATAAAATGTAAAAAATGTCTACAAACAGAATTTATAAACGCATTTATATCTTATTTAAACTTATTTTCGTTAAATAATTACGGAAAATTCACAAATACTCACCCATTACTGATTAAAAAAAATTTGAAAACAGACGAAACGTTCAATATCTCGCCAACCAAACGATAAACATTCAAATACTTGCTGCCACCTTACGAAAACAACAATTTTTTTTACACTCTTACTCTAATTGATGCTAACATGATATGCGATTTGAATTTGTTTATTAGAAGAGAGTTTCTTACTGAATTGTATTTATTAATTAATTTAAATAAAAGTAAATTACTTTTTTTATCTATTGTATTAAATTATTTATTATTTTTTCGTACTTTTTACTCTTTCCGCCCTGTGGGCACTAAGGGGCCTCTTATAACAGGCCCATTATGGGTTCGGCCAGGCCCACAATGGGGAGACTGGGTGGTGAGGGATGGGGCCCGACATATCCGAACGGACCACCCCCGAAAAATTCCTGGGGATTCCTTGACTTGTCCGAATTCGATCCCGGGTCCTCCAGAGCGGTAGGCTGCAACCTTGACCGCTCGGCCATCCGGCCTGCTGGCGCCTGTACTGAACAAGGCTCTGCCAAGACTAGACTCACTACTTGAACATCCCGCGGACGTACCTGGTCTTCATTACATAGATCCGTACAGCAGAAAACAACCATATGACTACCCGTCTTGCGAGCCTAACGGCATTTCCGCCTTGGTGGACCCTGCATTGCTGCCGTTTCTACACAAAAAACGATGTGCATTTTGTAAAGCACGCCAGCAAACGTCCCCACAATGGTGGGGAAACTTACAAGTAACTTGGTGCTCAATTCTGCCATGCAGTCTGCCAGTCCGATAGCCCACCAGTGGCCAAGCAATCTTCGTACCCTGAATGCTGGGAGTTCGGTCGTGGGTTCGTGCCTCGCTCGGACGGGCTGGCCAAGTGGAGTTTTCTAGGTTTTCTCCACATCTGTAACGCCTAAATAGAGGCCTGTTTTCCTTAAAAAGATCTGTCACAAGGCATATCCCCCTAGGCAGATCACCCAAGTGTTGTGTTGCCATAACTAAACAAACTGCCAGTCTTGCCAAGAGTGATGGGGCCTCTGTTCTTCCCACTCCTAGGCAGGCCCGCCGTAAGCGGGCGTGCAAAGCGTGCACCGCACGCGGGCGGAACATCCAGGGGGTGGCAAATCGAGCGATCGGTCACGTAATATTGAAAGTCATTGTCATAATACCCACTCTACTTATAGCATAAGAAATGTCTTCGCATGGAGCAAAAACTCCGACCGGCGCGCAATTACTATATTCTTATTTATATTATAGCGTTAACAGCGCCTCTATTGGCATTTATCAGAATTAAGATGCAATGCGAAACGTCTGTCGGCAGGTTGAATCATCCGGCCCAAGTACCCATAAGTACCCGAAAGCCAAGTACCCATAGTCGTGCTCTATGACAGAAGTTGACAGGACTGGCGAAAATAGGGAATCCCCACGGAGCTTCCTTCTCAGTTTGTACTGTACTTGTACGCATTCGAACAGTTCTATCGCATATCAAATTGCAACTATTTTGTTAATAATTCTTCTGACATGGGTCTAAGTATAATTAATGATATTTTAACTTGGTTAGGATTTAAATATGAAGCTTAAAGACGATTCAAGTAGTGAAACAGACATTGACGGTATTGATTTGTTTAATGAAATCAATACTTTAAAGTTGCATTTTCCAGAAAACTAGTCTAATGATCCACAAACCCTATTACAATATCTTTTTACTAATGACTTAATTTCAACATTTCTGAACACAGCAATAGCACTAAGAATATTACTTACATTGCCGGTTACAGTTGCATTTGGTGAAAGGTCCTTTTCAAAGTTAAAAATTATAGAAAAACTATTTAAGATCAACGATGTACCAGCGAAGACTAAGTAATTTAGCTGTAGTTTCAATTGAATATGAAATCTTAGACAGCTTGGATACAAGAAAATTGATAGCAGATTTTTCGCAAACATAAAGGCAAGAAGAGTTCAATTTCTGTAGATAAATATTTATATGGTTTTACACTTAAGTAAACAAAAATAACTTAGTAATAATAAATAGTTTTTCTTTGTAAAGTATTTATTTTCTTTTTTCACACCCTTATAAGACAACACTAGAGAGTCTTTCTGGCAAGCTCAGCGTAGGTAGTCGTAGTTAAACAGGGGGCAGCATAATCGGTATTGCACACGGGCGTTCAAACAGCCTAGGCAACACTTTATAGGATATTCTGACTATTACAGAACTTGACCATCTCCACTGATTATCGCCTGGTTCTTCTGACACCAGACATTCTGATCATGCCAGCTCAACAGGTGGAAGCCCTTGCAGACTTCTTTGGTTGACCTTGCCCTATAGAGGCTTTTGCACCCCTTCCTGCACTCTCACAGTGCAGTCAGCAGGGCAACTGGTCTGCAGACCACCTGTTCCACCTTCTGGACCTAAGCAGACCTCTTCAGCACACCATGCCAGACCCGGACAGTATCAGAACCCAGGCACTTAAGGCCCTTTCCCAGAGGGCGTCCAACTTCTTGTACTGTACATCTCAACAAAATCTGGAGTGCAGGGTTTTGTCCACTTGACTGGATAACAGTAGCAATCGTCCCAATTGCCAAACCCAAATGTCCAACTGCATTTTTGTTGTATTATCTGATCTCACTCACTTTCGATGTGGCAAAGACCTTCAAGAGACTTCTGCTTTACCTTTATAGATCGACACGATATCTTTCTCAAGAATCAGTTTGGTTTCCTCCTGCATAGGGGGTTGAAGTCATACATCACCACATAGCTATCGAAAGGGTGAAGCATCACTGGACATATGTCATCATCCTAGATTTAGCAGGTATTTATGATCCTGTCTGCCAGGCTAGGCTCCTGGAAAAATTGTCTGGCTTGGGTTTTGGAGATCAAATACACTGTTGGTTGAACTCCTTCCTCCTAAACTGCACCTTCCACGTTCGTTGAAGGGGCACAACCTCTCATCCATTTCTACATGGGGTCCACAGAGCAGTGTCCTGGCTCCTTTTCTGTTCACATGCTTTATGGCGGATCTTTGAGAGGCTCTTCCAAATGATGCAATGGCCTTCCTCTATGCCAACAATTTCGCCAAACTCTTCGCTCGACCTTGTCCATAGATCTAACTTTGGAATTAAATCATATACTGTACTAATCTACTGGCCACACGCTGTGTCTTCTAGACAGCACGTGGTGGCACTAGAAACGTACGTTCGACAAACAGGCCTCCAATGGGCTGAAAGGGGATTGGAAGCCGCTTTCAGTAGCCACCAGATGGCGGCACATCGGAGAATACAGTAGAGCGTCGTTTACGAAAGTCCGTTATCCGAAAGCATTCCAGTCCATTAAATTTTCGCTAGTGCTGTGGCACTGCAATCTTCGGCTATGTCTTGGGCTACTCCAATATTTTTTTTGTTGGTGTGTGTGTTTTAGCTGGCAGCACTGGCACTTTTGTGTGGTGTTTTTCTGAGGATTGTGTGTCACGCTGAATCCAACGTTTTTGATACTAGATCATCTTCTAAAGTATATATTTTTTGGTTTCTGTATTTTTCAATATACAGGTATTTATTTTGTTTGTAAGAAATAAAGAAATAATTTTTAACGATACAATAACCACGATTATTATTTTAAAACGTTTACGTTAGGCTTAACATCGACGAAAATTCAACACGAAGCGACACGCAACGGAGAAAAATTTCAATACGGGATAGGTTAATATATTTTTTCGTACATAATTGGTTATCCGAAAAATGAGTTATCCGAACAACCTCAGTCCCCAATTGATTCGGATAAACGACGCTGTACTGTATAACCTAATTGACTGGGATCTCCATATAAATCAGACAGAAAGTCAGGTTCTTTTATGTTTTTTCAGAGTTTGTCGTAATTGTTCCTTTTGGTTAGTTTGTTATTCTTCGATTTAAAATGGGTTTTAGAATATAGCATTTTTCAACTGACCAAAAAATTGCGTTTTGTTTTTTCCTAGAAATTGGAATCTTACATAATGAGTTAGGAAATAATCCCTGCCCGACTGTTTATCGGAATAATAATATGCATTATGTTTGTACCAATTCTTTAATCTCTCTAATCGTTGTAAAATTAGGTGATGCAAACAAGAGTCGTTGACGTATACCGAAGTCGATTTACTGGTAGAAAACAAAATGTCGGAAGTAATCTTCCGCAGTAGTGTGTATTCGATGGAATTTGCTGTGAGTTGAGAGTTTTTTTCAGTGAACGTGCGAGACCGTTCAGCTAAAAACCATCGATTGATGCAATACTACAGGTATAAAGTTTGTAGACTCTGAAACTTGATATCTTACAATTATTTTGATGTTTTGAGTAAGTTTATTCCTTTGTTAATTGTTCATTATTTCATTGTAATTTTAAACATGTGTTAATTACGAAATGAAAAATCGATTTCGCTAAAAATAGTAGTAAAAGTGACTGGCGCCCATTAATGGTAAAGTACCAATTTTTTAAAATAAATAACTCCATTTTAAACAGCTTGCTGTGTGAAATTTGCTGAATTTTCTTTACATCTCTAACATCTAAATAGGAGTCAATTTCCTGTTGAAAGTCTTCTCAGAGAAATTCTCCCTGGTAGATCGCTGTGTTGCGTTGCTGTATTCCATCAAACCAGTGAATGAAACCAATAAACCTTCCGAGAACCTCAAATCTAAATTTTTTTTAATGTAATGTTATGTAGCTTTTAAAAGAGATATTCACAAAATTCTCCGAATCATTTGCGATATTTTTTAAGTGAGAAACATACTTTGTATTCTTTAAACATGTTTTCCTTAAATATTAGACATACTTGAAACATGTCTAACATAGAAAACAATTTTAAAGTTTCTATCTCCTTCAGAAAAATGGAAAACATTTTAAATACTTTATAATGATTATTTTAACTTCGATGTTTTCGAAAGTATAGGCATGGGCCTTGTGATCTGCCATTTGTAACGTATATCAGGGCGTAGTCGTAAATTGAAAAATTCCAGGTCACTAACCGGCGCCCCGAGTTTGAATTGCCACTGTCTACAGAGTTTTGTATGGGGGAAATATTCAAATTTTTAACATTTGCGTCGCAACAATAGAACTCTGACAATTTGTCTACTTGCCAGCGGTTCGATCATTAGTTC